AGTTATCCTGATGTTTCAAATTCTCTGTCAAGTTGGGTCAGAAGCCCCCTCTCGTGCACGGACCATGCTTTAATTCCTTGACCTCCTTACACTCTCTTGACCAGATTGTACAAATGCAATCAGTAAATTATGCTGTGATGCATTCTTACAGCCGGCAGTAGTCCATCTGAGCCCTGGTTCCTCCCTAGCCAGTGAGATGACCCATCAAATTCGATTAAGACATTCGCACACATTTGTTACAGCACCTTACTGGTTTTAAATTACGTGCCTCAGTCTTCATATGTTGCTCATCAGATTCTGGCTTACTGAGCAAAACTATGAATACTAAGAGTAATACCTTCCCCACTCTGAATCCTTTACATGCAGCTTATTTTGTCATCTGACATCACTTATTTCCATATCTTTGCAACAGGCAATGCAAACAATGCAACTCTTCATTCATCTGTTCACAGCCTCAGTTTTCCTCCGATCCTGCACATCAGCCTTCCTTCCTGCTCTCTCTCTGCCATTCTCTCACAGAGCTGTTCCACCAACTTTTCTACTCCCAACATCCTTTCTTCTGTGAAAGCAACGCAAAACAGAGAAATGCACGTACCGTCAGTGTTTAACCTGTTACTACTGTGCCTAGATTTTACAGCTTACCTTGGAGAAAGACAAGCCATCTGCAAAGTTCCAAGAAGCCTTTCCAATGCAGAGAGAAGAGAGTGGTCTGCAGAGGTCTCCCTGTGCTGAGGCTGCCCTGACGAGTAGCAGTGCAGAAGATGTGCAGAACTGGCTCCAGCTACCCCTCCCTTCCTTTCCAGGAGGCTTCACCTGAAGAAAGCGGCCTGGCTTCTGAAGGGTCCTGAAGGCTCTGAAAAGGTCCAAGCAATGTAACGTGGTTACGGGCTCTGTAAGCAGGGCAGAATGCCCCTAGCGCTCAGCTGTTTTGCGCGCTTAGATAAGCCCATCTTGCATTATACAGCTGTGTTACATGATCTGTTGAAGAAAAAAGAAAAAACAGCTGGAAGAGAACCTCTGTCTATGAACTTTGCTCTGCTGGGAAGGCTTGGGCAGGCTACACACAGCACGGGTCAAAGCGAGGCGGTTTGGTCCACTCCTTCAAGCTGCATGAATAATTAGTAGAATTTGCTAGAGAAAAAATTGCGTGGGACTGCTGGAATAAGAGAGAACAACATATAATACCCAAGCACTTCCTTAATAAAAGCTTTCGCCAAATGAACACTTCAGACTCCCAAAAGACACCTTCAAGTACCTGTATCTTACTAGGCATTGGCATTTCAACATTTATTACTGCAGTCAAGCTACTATATTACAAGCATGAGTCAATGCCTGCATCTTCTGGCTCCAGAAGAAAGGGACTGTTCTGATTTTTATTTATAAGCTGGGCAAGTGGAGAGAGAGAGGCATTCAGTTACAGGCAAAGCACACGCTGCTCTACGAGGCCGGGTAGGCTGGTTAATACATGGACATATTCGTGTCTTAGCATCCTGAGGCACAAGTACCACAACCCATCTCTGCAACCTTTCATGTAAGGCCTCAGAAAAGGGCTTTGTAAATAATTTTTGTTGCCTTCCAGCACAAATCCCATGACCTCCACATTATTCATTAAGACTTCCAGCTCCGTGTAGAGTATGTTACGATCCAAACTGGCAGTTTCTGGCAAGAAGCGCTTGTGAATATGCACACAATATAAAACAGGAAGAAGGATTTCAGTTTATCTGTGCTCACTTGGGCTTGTTTGTTGCTTGGAAAAAAAAACTGGCAGGCTTCCCACCACTGTGCAATAGTCTAGGAAGGCTCCTGTCACCTGGGGACTCACATGCTGATGTGTGAGTGAAGAGAGCAGTAGCCAGGATTCATGGGGTTTTCAGCATTATCCTAATAAACTCTGTCATGCTACTAGTGTTAAGACGGGAGCGCTGAACAGAAACTGTCTTAAGAACTACTGACAGCTTCTTTCCAAAAGCTAAAAAATGTCACTTTCATGAGCTATTCCTTTACGCCAAAGCACAGAATGGATTTCCAAAGGTTTGTATCTGGTTTTATGCAGCATTTACCAGCCTCTTAGATTTATTCTGCACTCAAATCCAGCTTCCTTGATAAAGGAAGATAATATTAGCTTATATGAAATACCACATCATCTTACATCCCACACAAAGCTTTAGCCTGAGGATTTCCGGACAGACACAGTTCATCCAAAGCAATTGAAGGTAGTCGGGGGGTCATGGGATCAAGTCACACATGCATTTCCTTTCTCCTCCAGCATCCCTCTGGTTGAGCTTGTGCTCCTAAATTGCTCTTTTGCAATAGGGTAAACAAGTAAATGTTTTGGGCTCGGGGGATACCTGTTGTCTATAGAAGCAAGCTGATTTTACCTTTCTCAGTTTGTCTTTAGAAACCTAGCATCCCATAGGAAAGAAAAATAGCAGACCATCTCCGAACTGTAGTTTTTGAGAAACAACAGCATTTGTCATTCATATAGAAAATTTCCAGCTACCACTGTCTCTTGATGAAAGGAGAACAAGCACTGCCATCCCTTTTTGACAGCTGACAAAACAGATACGGATTAAGCGATTGCCCAGCATGATTTACTAAGTTAGCAGCACAAGTAGTAATACAGCCCTGGACTTCCAACCCTGGTGCTTCAGCTTCTGGGACATGCTTTTCCCATTTGAATTACTATTTTTTGTGAGTTCCTAGAATTTGTTCATCTCTATGATAACAATCAGTAGATTTTGAGTCTCTAAAAATTAATATAGACTTACTGCAAAAGTTGAATAAAATTAGTACTTTTCATTAATACCTTTGCCATTGGTAATGGAAAGAGAAGACAGTGGGTAGAGGCAAACACCAGCAGCTAAACTTTTATTGCACTCTCTGCTTCTGAAGTCCATTCAAGAGTAGGACAGTGGGACAAAAATAATTATAGGGGTCTTTCTACACAAAAGAGCCAGCTATTTAGAGGCAAAGTCATTTGAATGTCAATGAAATAACCATTAAAAGGCTGAGAAGCATTGCCATTTATTAAAAGATCTAAAGAATAGTTGCCTGCACTATAGCAATCTTCTAGGTAGGAGTTGTTAATTTGGTATAAAAACCTACTTGGGACAGGGCAAAGCATAATTAAACAGGAGACAATGCACACTGTGAAAAAGAAACTGGATTTGGAATTTTATAGCCTCTTATTTCATGTTTCTACATGAAATACTATGCTCTATAATCTCTCCTTAATAACACCTATGTATTTCTAGCTGCCACAGTGTTTTCGTTTCATTTCTAGCAGTGGTCTCCTACAGCCTAGGGAGGAAGGTAAAACAAGGTTACGCACTTGAATGCCCTCCCACTCTTTCTTTTTTTTTAGCCTCACGGCAATCCTTCTTCCGAGAAAGCCTCTCATCAATGCCACTCCTTAATTGGCCCGAGAGCCCCTCTTTAAACAAAGCTCTCGTCTCCCACAGGGCCGAGCACTTTCTGCTATTCTGGCAGAGCTAAATCCAGACAAGGATGTGCCATTTACCAAGACAAGTGTACTACAAATTTAAATGCACAGGAAAGAAGCGAGGTACTTCCAGGAGGAGTTGTTGATGTGCTGCAGGTAGAGATTTGCAGGTAGGAGGGACAGCATCTGGAGAAAACCTTCGATCTACATGTAAGCCTGTCAGATTGTTACTTCAAGAAAAAGTGTAAGACGGTAGTAATACCGCTCAGTAACAAATACAGATCAGTCGGAGACCTTGGGTAGACACTGCACTCATGCACTGAACGTGAGCTAAACCAGACTGTTAGGTACAAAGCTTTGTTACAGAGCTATAGGGCAGATAAAGACTTCATGAGTTAGACGGGAAAGGACTCCGCATTTCTAAAAACGATCACTTTTTAATATTAATACAAATCAGTAAGAATATTCAGGTGCAGTGCAGCTTTCACCTCTTCTTTAGCAGTAACCCTGGTCTCTTTGCCATCCGCCCACACACTGCCTGGCAAGTAGAAGTGACACACAAAACATATCCTAAATTTTCATCCCCTCGACTGCTATGCTGTGGCACCGCGGTTCTTTATGCGCTCAGCTAGTGTAGCTGAGTATACCATAATATTTGAGAAAAAAGTAAACACAAACGCCCACAGCAAGACTAAACAGCAATTCTTCGACATCTCCCGTGATACCCAGAGGCACAGAATTCTCCCCTGATACATATCAGACAAACGTGTCATTTAAAATACTTTGTTCTTTCTCCTTTATTTAGCCACAACACAAATACAAGAGCAGTCAAACCCTGTCCAGTGGAACTCACTAGATAAACCTGTTCGGATTAAGATTCTCATGAAATCAGGCAAAATATACATGTACACGCACACACTCTCACGCACACAAGAATGCAGCAGAGACCTTACAAAATGAGGAGTGGCACTGAACTGCACCTAAAAAGCAATAGAAAAAAATCAACCGGTTAGGATACATCTGTTAAGCAATGAGGCTGTGCACTGAACGGGTTCCCACTGTACCATTCCATCGGCTATTTAAATACCAGCATCATTCATTTCAGGTGCAAATTTGAAGCTCACAGAGAGAAACAGCCTGATCTCAGTTACCCAAGAATATGGGGTAATAGAACAATTACTCCACTGTAACTCAAAGCAGAATCTGGCCCTAGGAAATGAATATGCATATGACCGGCTCCGGCTGGAAGACTATTGCAGGTGACACCTTTTTTTCCCTTCACTTTCCCAGCAACTAAACCCATCACCAAAACAGTGTGTAATTTGGCTTTTGCACCCTCCCCACTCTAGTTTGCTCTAAAGCACATACTGCTCCTTTTGGTGGAAGAAATAGCATAGTGATTCTGTGATGTGAGTAAACGTCCACTAGGGACTAGAATAAGACCACCAAATATACCAAGCCACTGCAGAAGAAATAGAAATTGGGCTGTTAGATAAAGCTGGTCAAGCTGGTCCATCTGATTTGTCAACGCTTTGTTCAGAAATATAAGACTCAAATATAGTTTACAAAAAGAGTAATTCTTTATAGAACATCTCAATGTCAAAATACTAACAAAAACACAGCTTGTTAATGCTGAGAAGAGTGGTCTTGGAAAAATTAAAAACTAAACTAGGCCATTGCTAACAATAACAGGTGATATCTCTTCACAAAAAGGCGGTCTGACGTACTCAGGAAAAATGAAACATTTGAAACAAACTGTTTACAGAAGTGATTTAAATGCTCAGCACAGATCTAACACAAGTGTTAACAACCACTATTGTAATTTTATTTTTGGACAACTTCAGCAACTATTTAAAAAAAAAAATTGCTAATACAAAAATGTAGAAAACAAAAAGAAAAATCCAAAGAGAGAGTTTTTAGACAAACTTAGTTAAGGTGAAGCTGTACCTTTGTCCCAGTTATTAAGAACTTCAACTTTAAGCGTGGCATAACCCAGCTCAGCTAGGTTTGTAGGCTTCCCCACCCTTACTAAAGAGTTAGTTCTTAGAAGGCTCCAATCTCAGTCCCCCAGGGTCTGTATGGTTTGCCAAGGGTTGCTGACTGCGTTGGTGCAGATGGGCTGAGCACGTTGGGGGACAGCAGATGGAAGGAGCCAAACGAAAAGGGGAACGCAGACAGAGATGCCATGGAGGAGAGAAGAGGAGGAGACAGTTTGGTAGTAGATGTGACCACGGGAAGCACTGGTCCAACGCTGCCATTTGGGGGCACTCTTAGTGAGGAAGTTTCAGCATGTGGGGCGGCAATTCTGGTCTGGTGATGTGGGTCTGTGGAAGATGCTGTAGTACTGGTATTACCGTGCCCACTTTGAGCCAGCAGCAACGGGTGAGATATGTGAGGGTGATGTCCAAAGGCACTGCCCCAAGGAATGTGTCCAATGCCACTGTGTGCGCTACTTGCTGCTTCCCGTTGAGAGGCGTAGTTATTGAGATGAGACACAAGTCGAACTCGCAGAGGATCGGAGGCGTCCAGACCCTCTATAATACTAAGGTATCGAGCAACTTCAGCCAGGCACTCTCGAAACCCTAGACTCCGATAGTCCATAGCCAAAGCATGAGCATCAAAATAACCTAAGAGAAAAGAACAAAGAATGCTGTTTTCTAGTCATTGACTACATGTAGCCTCCCCACTCCACCCTCCCCTATAAGCATATTTCACTTGGATGTGGTTAGTATTCCCAACCATAGATTAGCTGCCAAGCTCCTTTTTTTTTTTCCTTTTTCTTTTTTTGTCTAACAAGCTTTTCTTTTATATCTGTGCTGTGATGCTGCAAGTCCCAAGACCAGTCACAGACTGCCATTTTTAAGCTGAAATTGCTCACTGCCACTGGAGGAAAGTACTTTTGTTCATGTCTCTCCAGCGCAAGCGAAACCACAGCGCAGTGAAATTCATTAGAAACACAAGTCTTAACTTATCAGAGGGGACTTCTGCAGGCAACATACTTTTTTCCTAAAAGCGCATTTCACCATTTTTGCTAATTCTCTTCATTACTCATTTCATCCTGTATTTTTTTCTTGTTTCTGTTCTGAACTTTCAGAAAGTTAGAGAAACAAACATTTGACAACGACAAAAACTTTGTGTTTTCCAAGTTGCCAAAAGCCGATTCACTTGGCAGAGCTGACACATTGCTAGAGAGACTTGTAATCACTCTCCCCTAGAACAACCTGGAGCTAGCACTGTAAAATGTTTCAGTGCTAGTGATGCTGCAAATCTTGTCAAGCAGAAGAAAGTCCCAAATTCCTGACGAAACATGAGAGTTTCCGTCCACTTTCTCCAAGCACCCCCGCAGCACACTGCACACCAAATGCTTGGGCACGCACTCCTCTCACAGCAGCCTCTCCACAGAGCTGCTGACCCACTGTCAGGCACGAAACTCTACCTTTCCCTCCTGCTGTATGCAGCATTTTCAGATGATCGACAGTCATCTGCAGAATCTCTGCTTTTTCCAGCTTGGCTGATCCCTAGGAGAGAAGGGGAAGCATGAAACTTTTTAAGCAGAACCAGAGACGTGAAAGAGGGGCGACCCTTCCTCCCGGGGGCAGGGGGGAGGCAGCGCGGAGGGTCACGGGGCGCTACCTGCTTCTCAAAGGCGCTGGGCACCAGCCTCCTCAGCTCGGACAGGCTGTTGTTGATGCGATCGCGGCGGCTTCTCGAT